TAGAAGATCCTGAAATCTGCAAAATGAAAATCAGAATTAAAAAAATATTTGAAATTTTTGGATTTTTTGGAGGTTGCTGCGAATCTTAGAATCGCTCTTCTGAAATGCTAATATTCACCTTTTCTAAACTTTCCAGAAACTTCTCTCCACTTTAAAAAAACGTTTTATTTTTTACTTTTTCCTACTGATCATTAAAAAAATTATTTATCCCCATCTCCATCCACCACTCATTAAACCCTCCATCATCGTTTTCCATTATAATTGAGTGAAATGGCGGTGCCTTCTCTAGCTAGCCGTATATGGTCTTCTCCAAAAGAAGAAACCAAGAACGCTGGCTGGCTGTTTTCAGAGGAGAGAGGCTCTCGGAGCCCGCTACACATTCTAGAAGGCGTGAGCGTCTTCGCGCGCTCACAACGAGAGACGCAGAGACATTTGCGTGTGCGACGAAGAGGGAGAATTATGGCATTATTTGTGTAGAAAGCCCCCGCAACACGGAGAGAAAAGAGAGAGAGAGAGCCCAAATCGATTGGCACAACCCCGCAGCCAGCCAGCAGCACAAAGAGACACAAACACTTTTCTGTCTCGCCCACCCTCCTCACTCTGCACACTCTCTTGCCGCGCGCTCAATGTCAGCGTCTCTTCACTAGCCACACTCTCTCTCTCGTCACCGCAACTCTTTTGCCTAGCAGCGGGGGCCCTTCTGCCGTCGTCGCTTCTTCTTCTTCTTCTTCTTCCTCTTCTTGTGTATGTGCCCCCGAGACAAGTCTCATTTCTGTGTTGAAGAAGAAGAAGAGAACCCGAAATGAATGGCTCGTGTCGAGCGACGCGACGTCTACACACATTCTTCTCTTATCCCCCCCCCCCCCCCCGCTCTCTCCATACATAACCGCTCCTTATAATGGTCCTCTTCTCTTCCCCGGATAATTATCTGATTTTTGAACGACCCCCACCACCCATCAAAAAAGTGAAAAATTTACGATTTTCGCGCGCGTCACTCATTGAAAGTGCGCTCTAGCGAACCTGGTGATTTGAATTGCCCGATTTGAATTTGATGCGGGAAAAACGGCGGCGGTGACTACAACATGTCATTATAATTTTGTCTAGACATCGTCTCTGGAATTAGGGAGAAAAATTTTTCAACCTAATTTTCAAAACTTAAAATTTTAAAAAAAAATTTGATCTACCAAAAAAAAATTTTCACCGGCAAATTTTCACACAATTTTTTCCCATTTTTCCCTTCATTTTTCTATCGATTTTGTGGCTCATTTTGGGCGTTTTCAAGCCTATTTTAGACCGATTTTAAGCTAGTTTTAAGCCCAAATTTTTTGATTGAGCTTTTGCGAAATTTACGTTTCTCACTTCTCCTAGGCGCCCTCCGTTAGTTCGTCTTCTTCTTCCCCCCTTCTTCGTCTTCATCTAATATTTTCCATAAAGTGGTGTTTTCTTCTTTCCCCCTCTACATCTGTTCCTTCTCTGAGTCTCCAACACTTCTCTAGCCGTCTAGCCCTCTTCCAGAGCAAACTGTTTTCTTCTTCTTTTGTACAAAAATCGATTCTGATGCGCCAACAACACGCCAGCCAACTTTCTTGGTTACCCGCCTTGTTATCTACGCCTTGCGACCTTATCTCTTTCTTGGTGGTCCGTGGCGCAGCGGCTTACGCGCGCGCCCTTGGCGCAAGAGGCCGCGAGTTCGATTTCCCTGGCCGGCAGTTTTAATTTAAATTATCCCCAAAAAATTTTTTATTTTTATAAATATAAATATATATCCACAAAGGAGTCTTTAAAAAAAAGAGAAGAGAGTGGGGGCGGTCGGCGGCTTAGGGCCAGGGATTGAGTAAATAGATACGATATAGACACCTTTTCTTCTTCTTCTTCGTTTTTTGTCGCTCCTCAAAAAGAAAGAGGGAAAATTGAGGATTTTTGCGACGACCCGGGATATTTAACCTTGATTTTTTTGTTGATCTTTTTTTAGCCTAACTTTTCCTCTTCCATATTTCCTGTTCCATATTTTTGGTGCCAAAAATTGCTTCCAGTTTCTACCGTAGCCTGTAAAATGTAACACAAGTCGCTTTCCCTCTCTAAACGGTGCCAATTAGGCTCTTCCATCTTTTTGAGAAGAGACTGTCTTCCCCTTCTTCTTCCCCAAAAATGGAGTACCACGAGGATGACAGTGCCCCCCCCCCTCACACGCTATGATTTTTTCCAGAATTCCTTCTTCTTCCCCTTAATACCCTCTTCTTCTTCTTCTTCTCCGTATGTCACACCCATCAGCATCCCCACATATGCTCTCAAGATGCTCTTTTCTTCTTCTTCTTCTTTTTTTTGTGAAAATGGATCGAGATGATGTGCATATGTTTTTTTTTCCGTCTCTGTGTATGTGACACATCGTTTTCCCGATTTTCGATTTTTTCGAAAGTTCTCGATCCCTGATTTATTCCGTCTGTTATAGCCTTGTCTTTGAGGACACCGGGGGTTTCTAGGCCACCAAAGTTTTGATCAACAGATCAGTGGTTCCTAGATCTTCTGAAAAGTTTTTTCTAGACATTTAGGGATTTTCTAGGCCCCCTTCGAGGTCTCTACTAGATCAGCAGGGACCAGAGACTTGCAATTTCTAGGCCACATGCCTTAAGAACCCCAGACTTGGGATTTTGATGTTCCAGGCCTTTCGGAAGGCCATTTGGAGCCAAACTCTTTTTTCTTGATACCTAGGTCGTCTAAGAGGTTTCCAGGCCACCAAATCTTTTGAAGCAGAGACGTGATTAGGGATTTCTAGGCCACCGCGGTTTTGGTCTCCAGTTTCTAGGCCATCAAGTCTTCCGGAGCAAAAAATCCGCAATTTTTGGGTTCTAGGCCTTCTAGGGGGGTTTCTAGGCCACCAAATCATTTTCAGTCGAATTCTGCGATTTTGTATTTTTCGGCCCCACCTAAGAGATTTCTAGGCCATTCTCAAAGATCTCTCTAGAAGAAGAAAAAACTTTCATCGATTTCATTTTTTATTTGTCTTTGATGTCTACTTGTTCCTTTTCTTTTTATTTTCCTTCTTCTTCTTCTCCTGCCTATACGTGTTGACCAAGAAAATGGGGGGAAAATCGAAGAAATCCGTATCTCCCCCTCCCCCCCCCCCCCCTCGAGCCAATGCATTTTTGATGAAGAATTGTGAGCCAACGGCCCCCACGGAGCATTTTTCAACCTTTCCGACTAAAAGAGTCTCGAAAGTTCCGGTTTACAATTTTTCAGCTTTTGAAGCCTTTGAATTTTTGAATTTCGCGCCGAATAATTTTTTTTTCATAAATTGGGAAATCCCAAAAAGCGTCGACTATCGTTCGTGTTCCTTCGCTGCTGTGCCTTCTGATGATGATCATGATTTAAAATTCGAATTGACACGCGACGCGCAGCGGCGGCGGAGGGGTCTGTCCCTCTAGTCCCTCTGGGGAGCTCGCGGAGCACACATGCACACACAGAGGGGTCCCGGCTTGCACATTCTGCCACACAGAGGGCCTTCCTTCTTCTTATTTTCCGTGTCGTTTCTCTCTGTGCCCATGACCTTCTCTCCTCCGCTCCCCGCTAGGCTAGCCTCCTCTCTCTCTCTCTCTCTCTCTCTCTCTCTCTTTTCTCTGCTCACACTCTCTCGCGTGCTCTCCGACGTCGTCTAGTTCTTCTCCGTTAGACGAGAGCGGTCCTCGGAAAAGATGGCGTCGTCGACGACGACGTCTTCTTCTTTTCCCGTTTGCCCGCCTTCTTCTTCTTCTTCTGCAAATTATCCCTGCGTCTTTAGAGAAGAGGGGGACCTTTGACCTAGAATTGGCTAACAGGTGTTTCTTCTATTCCATTACGGTACCCTCTTTTTTACCTGCACATCTAACTTGGCAGTTGAGAAGCAGGTGGAATGTGGAAGGGGTACTGTACAGCCTGCAGATCTTAATTCTTTTTATTTTAAATCAGCTGCATTTTTCCTTGGCTTTTCAATTTCAGAATCTTGGAATCTGGGATTCTCGGAATTTCAGGATCCTAGAACCTAAGAATCCTAGGATCCTGGAGTCTTGGAATCTTAAAATCTAAGAATCCAAGAATTCGAACCTTAAATTTTAAGGATCTAAAAATCTAAGCATTCCGGGATTCTAGAATTTCAAGATACTGAAATCTAAGAAACTTGGAATCTTGGAATCTTGGAATCTAAGAATTTGAGAATCATAGAATTCTGGAATCTTGAAGTCTAGTGATCTGGGATTCTAGAAATCTAAAAATCTCAAATTTTTCAAAATTATGGATTTTGAAATTTTTGATCTACCTGTATTTCAATTTCCGCGCGGCGCTCTTTTTGTCCTCAAGGCCGCCAGAAATTGAAATTTTCGGAAAAATCGGAGTAACCCCTAGCTACTCCTTTTCTTCTAAAAAAATTCATCAACATTTGTCATCATCATCCCCCCCCCCCCCCCAATATATATTATATGTCTTCTTCTTTTTTTTCCTTCCCATTACCCAAAAACTCTTCTTCTTCTTCTTCTTTTCCAACTAAGGGGGACCGCCCCGAGAAGAAGAAAAGAATAAGAAGAGCACATCCTTTTTGCATTCCAAGACTTTTTTTTCTTCTTTTCTCTCTCTCTCTCTCTCTCTCTCTCATTCTCTCTCTTTTATGTTACTTTACTTTTTTTCTAGAAATTCTTGTCATGCTTCATTGCTCCAAAAAATTTTTTATTTCTTCTTTTTTTTGTATATAACTTTTTACCTTTTTTACGGATGTGACGTGTGGCCGAATTTGGGATTTCTAGGCCATCAATTACAAATTTATTTGTAGCTCTGCGCTACGGCCGATTCTAGAAGAGGCAGAGCACACAGAAGACGAAGTGAGAAGAAGGGTGGGTGGTGTGTCTGCTCTCCTTCTCCCCTCTCTTCCCACTTGTGAGGACCAACAACACAAAACTACAGTAGTCGAGAGCAATCACATCTACAGTAGTCGCCACCTACAGTAACCCAATCGACCCTAAACCCGCACAGCAATCATGGGTTGTACAATGTCACAGGAAGAGCGAGCCGCGCTCGAGCGGTCTCGAATGATTGAGAAAAATCTGAAAGAGGACGGAATGCAAGCGGCAAAGGACATCAAATTGTTGCTTCTCGGTGCTGGAGAGTCTGGAAAATCGACAATTGTCAAACAGATGAAGTGAGTCTTTTTTTTAAAGAGTTTCCTAGGCCACCAAACTAGAAATGTACAAGAAACAACAGCGTTGCACTTTGAGCTCAATTATCTCGATTTCTGTGGAAGCTGTCAAAAAGTAATTAACTAGCGAAATGTTTCTGATAAAACTTTAACATTTTATTTTTTGACAACGTTTTGATATCTCTTATAGGAATCGAGATAATCGAGCTCAAAGTTGCCAGTCGGTAAAGTGCGTTCGTGTATCTCAACCTACATCTGCACTTTGAGCTTAATTATCTCGATTCCTATAAAAGGTCTAACAAAATTGTTAATTAATAAAATGTAGGTGATGATATGATAAACATTTTATCAGTTGACCAATTTTTAATATCCTTTAAGGGAACCGAGATAATTGAGCTCAAAGTGCAATAGACTAGAAAACTAGGAAATTTGGATTTTTCGACCGAATTTTTAAATTTTAATTGTCCAGGCCAGCCAAAACGATTTAAAAAAAGTATCTTTATTCTCCTTTCCAGGCCTTTTTACCACTCCAATTTTTTCAAAATTTTAAAAATTTTATTAACTAAAATTTTCAACTGTAGAATCGAAAAATATGAAAAATTTGTGACAAAACCCAACAAAAACGAAACCTCTACGACAATTTTGAGCCGAGTTAAGGTCATTTGAAAAAAACTTTGCGAGAGAGAGAGAGTGAGAGACACGGAGAAACGAGAGAATCTCGCTGTCTGCGTCTCTCATGCTCAATACTACGAACGCTCATAACTTGGCTCAAAATAGTCGTAGAAAATTGGTTTTTGCACAGATTGGTGTAGAAAATTCAGAATTTTCAGATTTTGACAAAATTCTAGAAAAACTGTATTCTTAAGAAAAAAAAATATATGAAAAATCAAAGGAAATAGTAGGGAACAAAGTATGAAAACTGAATGCAAAGAATCCAAAAATTTGCGTACTTCAAAAAATCCAACATACTTTGTTTCAGAATTATCCACGAGTCTGGATTCACAGCCGAAGACTACAAACAGTACAAGCCGGTCGTCTACAGTAATACCGTTCAATCGCTGGTCGCTATTCTTCGTGCCATGAGCAATTTAGGCGTTTCATTTGGAGCCGGCGAACGAGAGGTAGGATATTGGAGAATTTTGAAAAGTTAACATTTTAAAACAAAATCTGACAATTTCAAAAAACCTGGTTGTCATTGAATTTGGATTATTTTCTAACTGATAGTGAGATACGGTAGTTTTGGAAAATCAGTTTTTTGTGCAACCACCCATTCTAGAAATTTCCATTCATTCATTTCTTCTACATTTTTCTTCCTTCTCCTTTCTCCTCTTTTTTTCCAACTCATTCTGCTCCATTTCAATTCCCTCAGGAGCTTCTGACGACGTCGCCGTCAGAAGACGTTGAGTTGGAGCAGAAGGAGAAAAAATGGAATAAGAAGAAGAAGAAGAACCTCTGCGAAATCAGAACTAAAAGTAGTTGAGGAAAGAATGAGGGATTTTAGAATTTTTGAGATTTTGAGATTTTGAGATTTTGGAATTTTGAAATTCTAAAAATCCGAGTGTTGGAATTTTTTCAATTTCTGGTTTTTTTTCAGATTTTGGAAGTTTCGGAAAACCTTTATTTTCCCAAGACATTTATCTGTCATTTTCGAACTCCCCTAAATTTATTCAATTTCTATTTTTGAGCTGAAAATTGACCTGAAAACAAAATTGCCCCCATGAAATTTGAGACACATTTTTTTCCTTCGGAACTGAGAATGGACAATTTAGGGAAAAAAGAAAACTGGATCGAATTTCGAGTTTTAAATTGGGCAGAATTTGTTTTTCCCTAGAACAAGAGGGATCTGACTTTAAAATTGCCGTATCTTGGTTCAAAATTGTAATTTTTAAACTTTATCCAAATTTTTGAAAATAGCACTTCAAGGGCTTTCGAATGAGTATAATCATGACACACTTTCGAAGAATTGTTTTTTTAAATTTGATCTATGCGCCTTTAAACCCAATTTCTTTTCCAGGTAGACGCAAAATTAGTAATGGACGTTGTTGCTCGAATGGAAGACACGGAACCATTCTCCGAGGAGCTTCTTTCATCGATGAAACGACTGTGGAGCGATGCTGGTGTACAGGACTGCTTCTCGAGGAGCAACGAGTATCAATTGAACGATTCGGCTAAATAGTGAGTTTCAGTTTAAAACAGAAAAAAAATTGGATCAAAACTCTGAAAAAATCGAGTTTCTACGATGATTTTGAGCCGAGTTATGCGCGTTCGAAGAGTCATTGTATGCGCGAGGGGGAGGAGACGCAGAGAAACGAGAGAGTCTCGCTGCTTGCGTCTCTCATGCGCAATACTTCAAACGCTCACAACTCTGCTCAAAATCATCATAGAAACTTGGTTCTTTTGCTGAATTGAATAGAAAACTGTGGATTTTCATAATTTCATTAAAATAACAACAACTATTTCTTTGTTCTTCAGTTTCCTCGACGATCTAGAACGATTAGGTGAGGCGTCGTATCAGCCAACGGAACAGGATATTCTTCGAACTCGTGTCAAAACCACTGGTATTGTTGAAGTTCACTTCACATTTAAGAATCTCAATTTCAAGTGAGTTTTTGCGTTTTCAATGAAAAGGGAATTTGAAGTTCCAGAAATCTGAATATCTGGAGTTTCCGAATTCGAGAGCATTAAAAACAAAATTTTGAAAAATATGAATTTCAAATTTCAGAAAACTGAAAGATGAAAGAAACTGGAAATTTAGAAGGTTTAAAAATTTTTTAAGATTTTGTATTTTGACACTTCAGACTCTAAAAGCGACTGTTTTTTTTTTCAAAAAAACTTTTCTTTTCCAGATTGTTCGATGTGGGAGGTCAGCGATCGGAAAGGAAGAAGTGGATTCACTGTTTTGAAGACGTCACTGCCATCATTTTCTGCGTTGCCATGTCTGAATACGATCAAGTGTTGCATGAGGATGAGACGACGGTTTGTTTTTGTCGTTTCGTTACTCTGGTGGCCAAGGATTTTTATAGGTCACCGTAGAACTTGTATTAGAAGAACCCCCACTTTGACCCATTTTATCTTGGTTCAATCAGAAGATATTTAAAAGATGTCAACTCATAAAATGTTTATCATTCGATCATAAACAATTTGTCAGTTGACCATTTTTTTGATATCTTTGATAAGAACCGAGATAATTTGGCTCAAAGTTAAGGAGGGCGCAGCTAGAGTTGGTGATCGCCTGCGTCTCTCTCTTAACTTTGACCCAGTTTATCTCGGTTTTTGTAAAAGATAACAAAACATGCTCAACTGATAAAATATTGCTGATATTATGATAAACATTTTACCAGTTGACCATTTTTTGATATCTTTTACAGGAACCAAGATAAACATGATAAAAAAAACAGGGTTGTGGATTCTAACGTTCATAGGCAGTTAAATTTCGAGTCGGCTCCAATTATTCAAAAAAAAAGTTTCAGAACCGAATGCACGAATCGCTGAAGCTGTTTGATTCGATTTGCAACAACAAATGGTTCACCGACACGTCGATCATTTTGTTCCTGAACAAGAAGGATTTGTTTGAGGAGAAAATCAAGAAGAGCCCACTGACGATTTGCTTCCCAGAGTATTCAGGTAAAGTTTTAAAGAAGGGAATTTTTTTGGAATTAAAAAAAGTGGTGCTTTTGAAATTTGCAACGGTTCCGATTATCAAAAGTTTTGCGATTCTGAACTTCAAGATTTTTGATTTTTCGAAAGTTTTGGAATTTTCGAAATTCTGGAACTCAACTATTCTGGAATTTCGGAATTTTGGGAGCTGAACGGTTCTGAATTTTTGGATTCTGGACACCTAATTTCAAAGAACTCAAACTTCGAGTTTTCCAGATTTCGGAAGCTTAGAACACAACTTTGTTTAACTTGTTGTTCCCCAAATTCACTTTTTGAAAAAGTTTCAGGACGACAAGACTATCACGAAGCATCCGCCTACATTCAAGCACAATTTGAGGCCAAGAACAAGTCGGCGAATAAGGTAAAAATTGTTTTTTTTTCTTTTTGGAATCGAAAAAATTGCTTTTGGATCTGCTAACTTTGACTTAATTTATCTAGGCTCTTGTTGAAGATATCAAAAAGTCGTCAACTGATAAAAGATTTATCATGTTATTGAAAATATTTTATCATTTAATATCTTTTTGATATCGTTTACAGGAAACGAGATATATAGGCTTAAAGTTGACAGCTGCTGCTTCGGCGTAGCTCAGAACGACCTGCTAACTTCAAACCCGTATAGCGCATTTTCTGTAAAAGATATCAAAAAGTGTTAAACTGATTAAATGCTTATCATAATATCAGTAACATTTTGTTAATTGACAATGTATTGTATATATCATTCACAGTAACTGATATAAATTGGGTCAAACTTCAAGGCGGTTATCATTTCTAATAACATTCACCAGATTCTGTATGTGCGTATGTATGTAGCGCACCTTATCATCCATTCAAAGTTGACCGATCAAGCTGAAACCTGGACAGATAGATCACAATTGTGTCTTAGTTAATGCCAGAACGTTTGGTTTTTCGAAATTTTGATTTTTAAGTCTTCTGGAGACGTTCCTTGGTTTCACCACACAAAAGGGTGTTGGGCTGAAAGGAGATGATGGAGAGCGACCGGAGGCCAGGAGATCCAGCCCCGAAAGGGCGTAAATCGACTGATTTTTAAAAATTCAGAAAATTGCTGAAGCCATCCAATTTTTGGAATTTTCGAACAAAGTTTAAAAAAAATTCAAACTATTCTTATTTTCCAGGAAATCTACTGTCACATGACATGCGCCACCGACACGACCAACATTCAATTCGTTTTCGACGCCGTCACTGACGTCATCATTGCCAACAATCTACGTGGATGTGGATTGTACTAAAGAGAACTGTTTTGGCGGGAATTTGCAAATTTTTACTATTCCAAAAATTTTCATTTTTCCACGCTACCTATTTTTTGCCCTAAACTCCCCCACCCCAAAAAACTGTGTGTATCTTTTGCTTCTTTCTTCTTTTTTCAAGAAATTGTTCTTTTTAAAAATATTTTTTGTTTGGAAAAAAATCTCTTTCTTCTCTAATCGCTCTCATTCACTCTTTATCTCTCCCTAATCCCTATCTGTCTTTTTTTTCCAATCCACCGAGTATATGCATCTATAAAAAAACCATAAATATAAATAATTCTCTTTTTCCTGAGAGCTTCCTCTTCTTCTTCTTTTTTCACCAATTTATCCGTGGAGCGTACTTACACAATACCCACTGAAATGTTCTTCAAAAAATCTGAAAACCCAGCCCCTTCTCCCCCTAAAAAAATTTAGGATCACTTTTTTGTCCTCTCTCTCTTATTTATTTGATATCTATCGTAACACACCTATTTATTTAGGCCCCGCCCACTTGGCCCTCACTCCGTGTAGTAGCCCCGCCCACAAAACAAAATTTCAGTTTTTTCCCCCGAAACATCTATAAAAAAACCATAAATATCTCCGCCCACAATCCCAAATCCCAAATCCCCGAATCCCCCCTTGAAAGGTCTCTAAATACGCTTTGCCTTCTCTCTTTCTCTTTTTCTCTCTTCCCACTCTCTTCCCTCTCACTCTCTCACCCTCTCTCTCTTTTTCCCCTAGTCACAGTTCTTTTTTTTTTTTTTTTGATTTTTAATTTTGTTTTTTTTCAAATCCTCCTCCTCCTCCTCATCTCCCTTCTTCCATCTTTCCCTCCTCTCTCGAAATAATATATATGGCAGCTTTCTTTTTTTTTTTCTAAATTTTGTTCATTTCCCCTTTTTCATACTCTATAAAAATTTTTTTTCTTATTTTTGTGTGAATTTTTTAAATTGGAAAAATCCAGAATCCAAAAATAAATTTCCAACTCTCAGATTCTAGGAATTCAAAAATTCGTATATCCAGAAATTAAAGGTGGGGGGACAGGAGATTTTTCGTAGTTTTTTTGTAGCTAGAGTATGCATTCTACCCTCACGGTGTACAACGCTTAATGTCACTCTGCGTACAGCTGTCGTCTTCGCCTTTATGTATGCAATCGGGCGTGCGCTTTCTCTTTGCCCGCGTGGCTCAGTCGGTTGCGGCGCCGCACCCTCAATCATCGCCCTCACAAGTTCAACTCCTCGAGGGGCATCTTTGAACGGAATTTCGAGAACATTATTTTTTTAATGTCCCCCCACCTTTAAGAATTTTGGAACAACCGGAAGTTAAGAATCTCAAAAGAATTTGTAAATTCAGAATTTCCGAATTTCTTGAATTTTGGCGTTCTGAACTTTCGAAATTCCGGAATTTTGAGATTTTGGAATTCTGAATTTCAGAAATCCAAAAATTCAAAAGTTCGAAAATTCATCATTTCCAAATTCAGAAATTTAGAAATTCAGGAATTGAGGAATCCTTAATTTTGGAATTTCAAATATTCAGAAAAATGGGAACTTCGGAAATTCAGAAACTCGGAAATTCAGATATTTAGAAATTAAAAAATTCAGGTATTCATTCCAAATTTGCCGAAATCGGAACATTTTTCAAAATTTGGAAAGTTCGAAAAATTAGAACTTCAGAAATTCAAAAATTCAGAACTTCAGAAGTTCCGAGATTCAGAAGTTCCGAGATTCAGAAGTTCCGAGATTCAGAAGTTCCGAGATTCAGAAGTTCCGAGATTCAGAAGTTCCGAGATTCAGAAATTAAACGAAATGAATTTCAAAGTTTCTCAGATTCAGAAAAAAATCTCACAATCCAAAAAAATTGAACTCCCGGAAATCCGAAAAACAAGAAATCAGAATATCAAAAATTCAGAAATTCAGAAATGCAAAATTTCAAAAATTAGAAGTTTTAAAATTTTCGGAATTCAGGAATTTAAAAATTCATAATTTCCGAATTTCCAAAATTCTGAAACTTTCTTTTTCTTTTATAACCACGGAAAATGAGTAGTTTCCGAGAATTGTTTCCTGTATTCTTGAATTTCTCTGCTTGTTTTTTTTCTAGGTTACACATGACAAAAAAACAAAAATTCCGTGAATTCCAACCAACAAAGTCTTTATTTTTAAATTGAAATAGGTGGACTTTAAATCAAAAATCCACAACATTTATTTGATTTATTTCTGATCGTGTTTTATAATTTTCCTTGGAACAAACGGTAACAATAAAAAATGGGAAACGCGTTCTCCTGTACGCAATTTTCGAAGAAATACAATTTTTAAAAAATCCGAATTTCAGGCAAGCAGAAGAAGAAGAAGAAGACGGGCGAGTCACCAAAAAAGCCATCACAAGCAAATAATAATAATAATCGGAGGAAATCGAAAAAGAAGCCCAAACAAATCGTTCTTGACAAGGACCGAAAAATTATTCAAAAAGATAAAGAGTTATATCAGGTAAGACGAAAATTTGAATTTTGAAAAAATCCCAAATTCGGCCACCAGATATATACCGTAAAACCTGTATTAGAAGGGCCCCTTCTATAGAAGGGCCCTTGTAATAGAAGGGCCCACGGGGGGTACCTTGGAACAATAGAAGCGCCGGCCCTTCTAATACAGGTTTTACGGTATTGCAGGTTTTTTTTGCTTTTGAAATTTGTAAATCATCAATTTCAAAATTCAAAATTCGAAAAAGTCGATTTTGAGCCAGAATTCAAATATTGGTGACCTAGGAAACCACATCTAGGCCACCAGTCTCAAAAATTTGAATTTCGACTTTTTTGGTTCAATCATTTTGAATTTTTGAGATTTTGAGGTTCTGAAATTCCGAGATTCTGAAATTCTGAATTTCTGAATTTCTGAATTTCTGAACATTTAAAATTCTGAAATTCTCGAAATTCTGAAATTCTGAAATTCTGAAATTCTGAAATTCTGAATTTCTGAATTTCTGAATTTCTGAATTTCTGAATTTCTGAATTTCCGAAACTCTGAAATTCTGAAATTCCGAAATTCTGAATTTCTGAATTTCTGAATTTCTGAATTTCTGAAACTCTGAAATTCTGAAATTCCGAAATTCTGAAATTCTGAAGTTCTGCAAATTCAAAACCCAGAACCTCTCTAGGTCTTGTGACATTTTTTCAAATCCCCAAGCCCCCCACTTTAAGTCAAGATACAAACATTCCGAAATTGGTGGTCTAGAAAACCTCAAACCTAAAAATTCCAGTCCCCCTTCATATTCAGGTCGTCTTCGATGCCGAAGGATTCAGTGTCCACGATTTGGCACTTCTTGGTCAGAAAAACTCGGCCGACACGTGTGTCAAACAAGAACTGGTGAGTATGGCCTAGGATTTTCTAGGCCATATTTTTGAACTTTTTCAGAAACCAAAAAAGATGGGTCGAGTGAATATAATACCAGATATAATACCATTTTTGACACAAAATCCTGCAAAATCACCAAAATCCAATAAGAAAGCGACGTTGGAAGAATCGAAGGAAGAGTTTGAAATCACTGAAATTCTGGATTATATCGATGATTTGTATTTACAATTATGTGAGTTTCTCTGTCTGTCTGTGTGTCATGATCGTTTATCTTCAGTGGATCCGGATCGAACAATAATGGATGATCGAAGGGATAGCACGTCGAACACCGAGAATGCTAGCTCTAAATAATTTAAAACTTTTTTTCTGAAAACCTTTTTTGTTGGATTTAATAAAGATTTTCTGGAAATGCGACACTTTTTTTTTTGATTGATTTTTTTCGGATTCTCAGAATATCAGAATATTGGAATCTCAGAATCTCCAACTTTCGGAATCTCGGAATTTCGAATCTCAGAATTTCAGAATTTCAGAATTTCAGAATTTTAGAATTCCATAATTATAAAAATTCAGAATTCAGAACATTGGGAGTTCGAAATTTCATAATCTCAGAATATCAGAATTTTGGAACTTCCGAATTCGGGAACTCTGAAATTCTCTGAAGTTCAGAAGTTCGAAAATTCGGAAAGTCATGATTTCTGAGTTTTCGAATTTTTGAAGTTTCATAATTTCAGAACCTCCGAATTTTAGAACTTCAGAATTGCTACCAGAATATCAGAATTTCAGAACTTCAGAATTTCGGAAATTCAGAAATTCAGAAATTCAGAAATTCAGAAATTCAGAACATTGGGAATTCAGAATTTCATAATCTCAGAATATCAGAAATTCAGAACTTCAGAAGTTCTGGAATTCAGAAACTCTGGATTTTAGAAATCCAGAATATCCGAATTTTGGATATTAGAAACTTTAGAAATTCAGGAAATCCAAACTTTTGAATTTCAGAATATCCGGATTTCCAAAATTCGGAAATTCGAAATGTTAAAATTTTTTGGATTCTCAGTATTTCAGAGAACTCTGTTTTTCTCAAATTCCAATAAAAATCCAATTAACACCGTTAAAAAATTGTCGATTATCAATTATATGATTTTTTGAAACTAGGATTTTTAGTTTTTGCCATAATTTATGATTTTTCTGAATTTTCTCATTTCCTCCAAAACAAACAGAATTTTCTCATTTCCTCCAAAACATTGTTTCACCTTTCCTCTTCACTCTTATCTCTTCATGACAAAGTAAAGTATATGTTGTCCCTCACTCATCAACCTATCTATCATCTAGTAACTTCACACCCAACTTTACCTCCGCCAACGGGACAAGAAAAAGAAGATTAGTCACCTGGTGTATATCTCCTACAGTGACGTCATCAGAGAACTTCTCATTTTTACGCGAATATATTTTTGCTCTTCGACTTTTGAAACTTGTCAATTTGATTGGAATGATTTTGATGATCTTGAGACATCTGTTGGAAAACTACCGCAAACTTGTCGGAAGCTTTTCGGAGTTTTTTTCTGGGGCGAGAGAATGCATTTCTGGTGTACAGTACTCGGTGTTCGCCATATATGAATCATCAGTATCTAGCGCCGCCGTAGCTCAGCTGGTAGCGACACGGCACCCCAACAGTGGGCTTAACTTTGACGTCCTACAAAACTACTCCAAATGTATTCGATTTGTCTGAAAATTTCAGAGTATACTAAACAAAAATCGTGCTTCAATTTTGCAGCGGACAACTTTTTCGCTAAATTCCACTCAGATGAGATATGTCGTTCCTGACCAGAATAGTAATAAAATTAGCACTGAAATGAGAACTGTCTCATTTTTAAGCCGCTTATCTGGTTTTTCTTGAAATTTTTCAAAACAGTTGTTATAAAAATGAAGCTCTAATTACAAAAATGAAGCTCTAATTTTGTTTAGTAAACTCGGAAATTTTCAGATAAATCGAAAAATTCTGGAAGGTTTTTGTAGGACGTCAAAGTTGATTACATTCAACTGATAAATGCGTAATATCGTATTTTGCAAACTTTTTGAGTGACTTAGCAATTACAAGAAATTAACAGAAGCTATTTCGCTATTTCTTTTATGAATCTAGATAGTTACAAACACAATTTACAGAATAATGAACCAAAATCCGAAGATCATTCAACTGGAAATAAAACGAAAATCGGTTCTTATTATACCCAGAAGTGTTGAAAGATCTTGCACCTTTAAAGGAGGCCAGACATGAGAATTTTAAAAATTCTATTTTTTTGATATATGCCACAGTACAGTCAGAAAATAACAATGAACGCACAATCATACCTCCCTGTTACTGTACAAGCGAGAACGCGACCGTTCTTCCAAGCGGCGCCCACTCCTCGTTTCATAATCGTTTAGAGGCAGAAGCCAACAAGCGCTGTGTGGTGTAAACACAGGTCCTGGGCGATGATGTGCATAAAGGACCCGATCCATATGCGATCCTCTAGAAGTCCGTTTGACACATATTTCGAACAACGAGCTGCGATGAGTCTCATATGTGTGCGATGCGGGAGAGGCTGAATCGAGTGTTCCGAATGCGCGCGTATCCTAGATGGATTCTGGGTGGGTGGGCGATGTGTGCGATATGAGTCTGATACGGTAGGCCGACTACAACACTCCGAAATCCCGGATGCGCCCATTGTTTACCGTAAATCCACACCGGCAACTTTGTCAATTTTTCGTCAATTCGAGCCTACATTTCTGGTTTTTCGATTATTCCTTCGATGTTTTTTGTGAAAAAGAGTTATGGCAGAATAAAAAATCGCTGAATTCTTGCAGAAACATGTCTTTCACTCGTTAATTGCTATGTTTTTCGCCAAAATAGGTGATATTGAGATTTTTTGATTTCACTTTGTAATTATTGTAAAAATCGTATTTTCAGGTGGAGTAAAAGGTAAGTTGGTAAGTATAAAATAATTACAAAGTTTAAATTATGAAAATTTTCAATTTTTCGTGCAATTTCAAAAAAGTGAAAGTGAGACATTTTTTGAACAAATGAAAAAAAAAACAATTTTTAGCGAATTTTTTCCCATTTTGTTCTGTTTTTGATTGCATATCAAATTTAAATGGAAACTGCCATAAGTCTTTTTCAAAACCAAAACATTGAGTTTCGAAAAATCAGTAATATGTCGTTCAAAATATAAAAGAATATGGAATAATAAAGGAAAAGTACGAAATCGGAAGACCTGAACAAAATCACATCACAATAGAACTTAACTGATACTTCTAGGAACCCCCAACCAATGTTTTAGTTCATTTCATCGAGTGCCAGCAAGCCAGGCGAGGAGATGCTTTGCGGCGGCGGTGTGCCCCATATGCCCCGTATATGCCCCATACCGGCGTCCTTTCCCTGTACCCAATTCATCGGCGCGTCCTCCGTCGCCCATCGATTATGTGTATGCGCGCCCATGACCTGTGAAGGTGAGCGCGCTTGTCTATCAGTCGTGCATCGCGGGTTCGACTCCCATGTGTACGTTTTCGTTTTTTTCTGTTTTCATGCGGCGACGTCCTAGAATGGCCGAATAACGAGAAAAAGTCGGGAATAAGTGCCAAACAGAGAAGAAATCTAGTGTATTCTAAAAAAAATAAATGCTCGTCCAGGTTCCTTTAAAAGATATCAAAACGTAGATTTTGAGAATTTTTTCGAAGAACCCCAATTAAAAACCATGTTAGATGCGAGAAGAGAATCATTTATGAGACACTCGAATTCTGCTGAAGTCTTTCCAGTTGCACCTCCCGATTTAGAAGTCTTTATTGAGAGATCTGCGTGAGTTTTTACTTGTTGTTAGGGGTGGTATGAGGCATGCTACCTTTGACCCAATTTATCTCGGTTTCTACAAAAGACCTCAAAAAATGGTCAATTGGTAAAATGTTGCTGATATTATGACAAACATTTTGTTAGTTGACTACTTTTTGATATCTTCTATACGAACCGAGATAAATTGGCTCAAAGCTGAAAGTTAGGATGCCAATCCATTTGAGGAATCCTTAGCGTACCTTCTAATAGATTGCGTCCACTTTGAGCCAATTTATCTCGGCTCCTATAGAAAATATCAAAAAGTAGTCAACTGAAAAATGTTCATTATTTTATCAAAAATATTTTATCAGTTAGCCACTTTCAGATATCTATTACAAGAAACAAGAGTTATGAGCTTAAAGCTGGAAGTTAGTGGGTTATCCTTGAAAAACGCTCTAAAAAGGCAGCTAAAAATTATCAAGGGCTTTTCTGAAAATTTAAAAATTGAGTGATAAACAGAAATTATTTAAATGTCAAAATTAGTAAAATTTCAGCTGTAGAGAGAGTTCATGAATTCTGAATTATCTGAAGACGTCATTTACCATAATACATTCTTTTTGAGCTCAAATATCTCTATTTCCATTTGAGGAATCCAAATTTTGCAAGCTATAAAAATAATGATGATAATATAAAAAACATTTTATCAGTTGATCACATTTTGATATCTTTCCGAGGAAATGAGATATATAGGCTCAAAGAAACAAGTATGGGTATGGCGCTATATTAGAGCATGAGCGTTGTTCTGATGGCCTGAGAATCCAAAAACTCGTCAATTCAACTATTTCCCATCGTAAAAAGTAGTATTTTGTCAACTCTACACCTCTCTCTAATCCCAAAAAAAAAGAGTTTCGGGGAAAGAAGAGATATTTCATCTTTCTCCTCTACCTCAGGTGTCACCTTGCTGTTCCATTTCGTCCTGTCAATCGATCTCTTTGAAGAAGATGCACAAGAAGAATCAGCTACACAGCTGGCATTCTTTTAGCTCTACTACTACAAAAAACGTTTTCTTTGATTTTCGGTATTCTAGATTTTTCAGGCTCTTTGAAACTCTAGAATCTTTAATATTCTAATTATCTCCGAGGGACCACCGGGGCAGATAGACTGCCCCACCCGCTTAGTATGTGTTGTAAACAAGAAGGAGAAGAACCAAACCGATTGATTAACGATCAGTCGAGAGTGAGAGAGACGCAGAGTGTTGATGGGGGGACCGCAGAAGAAGAAGATACTCGATGCACTTGTGAGAAGAAGGTTATCTTCTTCTTCTTTTTGCTCTGTGAGCCAGCCGGAATGATTTATATTCGCCATTCTGCCTCCTCCCACTTACCAACCACACCTGATTATTTTTAGATGTTGTTTTTTGTTTTTTTTTCCTTTTGGAATTTTTATGGCTTTGGATGATTGATAAGGTGTTCGGAAAAGCTAGTGATAATATTTTGCTAATTTTAGTGATATAATTTTAAAAGCCATTGTTTCTTTATACCGTAAACAATAGAATAGAAACTTTGAACCGACTTATCTCGGTTTCTGTGAAAGATATCGAAAAACATTTGGCTAAGATTCTGAAATTTGGATTACAAAATTCTAGAATTCGTGAGATTGTCAGATTCTCAAAATTTTCATTTTATCGAATACCGTCCACTTAGTTTTCAAATAAAATTCTGCCTGTTGTTTCTTCTAAAGGTTTTCAAAATTTTCAGACTTTTGCGTTTATTTTCGGTTTTTTAAACTTCCCACATATTTTTGTTCCGACTTCTTGAATTTCTAAATTCTCACAAAATGGAAAATTGATCAAGTTTCAGAAATACTGAAACTCTAGAGATGAATAGTTTTACCAATTTTTCCCAAGATTTCTAGCCCAACTAGCTACTGAGATAGACCGCTTTGAAGTTACTGAAACGAGAGACGTAGACAGTTAGAGTGTCTCGTTGTCTCCGTCTCTTTGAAAGTTCAAATGGCTGAAAGCGTAGTCCAATTCGAAAACCAACTTCCTAGCTTTACTAGGGGTCGAGATACAGCCATTTGAAGTTTTGAAACGACGCAGACAACGAGACACTCTAACTGTCTGCGTCACTTTAAACATCAATCGACTGCTCCTAGATGAGCTAGAGATTCGAAATTTTTTGGAAAATATACGATTTTCAAATTTCGCATTTCAGTTTAAAAATCAGCTTTCAAGCTCAACTAGGAGCTGAGATAGACCACTTTGAAGTTACTGAAGCGAGAGACTCAGACAGTTAGAGCGTCTCGTTGTCTCCGTCTCTTTGAAAGTTCCAATGGCTGAAAGCGTAGTTCAAAATTTTTAGGTTCGTTTCCTCAATTTTGGAATATTTTCAAAAAGAGTTCTCCTTCACTTTTGTCCCAAGAAAAAAAAACGGAAAAAGTCCCATATTTTTTGTTAATCCCTACTATCCTTTCCCTAGGTCCACACATCATTTGACGTGATTTTTTGTGACAGAAACTTTTTTTTAAATTATATTTTTACTCGTCATCTTTGTCAAGAGAGTGTGGGACGAAGAGTTCATCTTCTTCTTACTCTCTCTCTCTCTCTCTCTCTCTCAACAGAGTTCTCAGGAAAACAAGAGTAACCTATTTTTATGATCGCTAGGGTCAAAAAGCAAAGATTTTAAGAGAAAAAAACTGGAAATATGAAAGTTTGAAATCATATAAACATTAGAAACGCTTCAGAAAGATGCCAACTTTTTTCAAAAATTAGTCACCATAAACGTTTTAATAAACTTTGACCCAATTTATCTTTGTTCCTCTGAAAGATATCAAAAATATGTCAACTGGCTTGTCTTGAAGCCAAGATTCAGCCCTTTGAATTTTTCGGAAAGACGCAGACAACGAGACACTCTCGTCGCCTGCGTCTCTTGCTTCATAAACTCCAAAGCGCTCTATCTCAGCTGCCAATTGAGCTAGAAATCTGGAAATTACATCGAAAAACTGGAAATGCTTAAATGTTTCATTTCTATGTTTTTGCTTTTTCAACGAAATAATTTAATTTTCTTTTTTCTAGCTTTATTAAGAGTGAAAATTCTGAAATTCTGAAACTCTGAAAATCTAAAATTCAAAAAAAAATTCGAGAAAAATCTGGAAAATCTAGTTTTTCTTTCGCTTTTTCTTTCCAGAACACCAGAACCCAAAAAAATTGGATGACGAGAGGACCATCTAATAAAAATGAGAAAAGCAACGAGTTTTATGATCGTTTTTTTTCTCTAAATCTCTCAATTTTTTTGCTCTCTCTCTTTTTTTCTATCCTCAATTTTTTTGCTCTTTTCTCCATTGCTCATATTTTTGTTGGATTGCTCATATTTTTGTTTTCAGATTCTCAATTAAAAAAAAAAACAATTTTTTCAGAAAAAAAGAAATGCAAAAAATATGGGAATGGATAGTGGATAAAAAGACGAATACGATTCGAAAATGGCGATCATCGAATATTCGACGGAATAATACGGAACCAGACGATTTAGCAGGTGAGCGGGCGGGAAATTTGAATTTTTTCTAATTTTTGAAAATTATAGTTTTGCCAATTATTTATATGAAATTTTCAGAATCCTAGCTTGTCTAGAAGCTGAGATAGAGCGCTTTAAAGTTTATCAGGCGAGAGACGCAGACGGCGAGAGTGTCTCGTTGTCTGCGTCTCTTCCTTCTAAGAAAGATAGAAAAGTGGTTTTCGAACGAGTGTTTAACATTTTTAATACTTTTCGATTTTTAGGGAAAAAATTATTGAGTTCAAAAAATTCGGAAAAAACTCAAACTCTGAAAATGAATTACTGAAAATTTTTTTTGAAAATTTTTGAATTTTTCAATTCTTTCTATGCAATTTTCAGATTTCTAGCTCAACTAGAAGCTGAGATAGAGCGTTTCGAAGTTGATAATACTAAAGGCGCAGACGGCGAGAGTGTCTCGTTGTCTGCGTCTCCTCGAAAATTCCAATGGCTGTATCTCAGCTTCTAGGCAAGCTAGAAAGATGATTGTTGAACCGGTGTGTAGCACTTCTCCACTTTTAAATTTTTGAAGAAAATTCGTTCGAAAAAAATCCAGAAGCTACAAAAATCCTCCAAAAGTTCTGAAATTTTAAGCATATCGAAATGGAAAACGAAAATCGTACTCGGCTGGAAGTATCACGTCGTCATCGAATAACTCCACAAATAAAAAGAATGCAGATTTTGAGAATTTTTTCGAAGAACCCCAATTAAAAACCATGTTAGATGCGAGAAGAGAATCATTTATGAGACACTCGAATTCTGCTGAAGTCTTTCCAGTTGCACCTCCCGATTTAGAAGTCTTTATTGAGAGATCTGCGTGAGTTTTTACTTGTTGTTAGGGGTGGTATGAGGCATGCTACCTTTGACCCAATTTATCTCGGTTTCTACAAAAGACCTCAAAAAATGGTCAACTGGTAAAATGTTGCTGATATTATGACAAACATTTTGTTAGTTGACCACTTTTTGATATCTTCTATACGAACCGAGATAAATTGGCTCAAAGCTGAAAGTTAGGATGCCAATCCATTTGAGGAATCCTTAGCGTACCTTCTAATAGAATGCGTCCACTTTGAGCCAATTTATCTCGGCTCCTATAGAAGATATCAAAAAGTAGTCAACTGAAAAATGTTAATT